AGACTGCATGATTTCGGCTGCCTCTTGCTGCAAGAGCTTGTTCAGCGGATGGAACTGCGTACGGGCAGCATGGAATAGCGGGATTCCAGCCGCAAAGGCTACACCAAGCTTGTGGTTTTCCAGGAAGAAGGCAGTTTCAGGCGTCAGGTCACTCGGCTCGATGCCGAAAAGCAGCCCCACCTCATCACTAGTGGAAGTTCGGACGGGATGACGCGAGTTAGGCGGGAGTACGGATGCATACAATAGATGAAGATAACAGAGAAGCGTCCCATCAACACGTACATGAGTGGGTCTTGCTGGAAGAGACTCGAGAGCTGCGCCAGCAGCGCCTCGCCTGTCGCCATCTCGCTGACTGTAAAATGACAAGTCGTTAAAAGAATTGATACCTTGTTTTGGTACAAATACTGCCTTCTTTTGTATTCTCATATCCTTCTGATCAAGCTTGCTCCGCTTCCTTCATTACTGAGATAGCTATCGGCCATCGCAGTGGTTCCAGATAAAGAAGAACAGCAAGTGTTAATATTTAATTGCGGACGAAGAAGGCTGAGATTAATGCAAAACAAAAGTACTGCCCCTTTCAAGTTGGCAATTACACTACTTATTGGCGGTGATTATCAAACAACACCTGAAGTGAACGTCATGCTGACTATTCGGTGGCTGGGCAGCTATGAAGCGATCCTCCCATCTATTGCTGCTAAACAGTATCTTCCTCTATCGAATCGCAGCTGTGTGAGAGGAATGACATGGAGTACCCGACCAGTGTGAGGATGCACGCCAACTGACTGGCAGAACGCATTTGATTGAGGCCGTGTGCATTATCTGCAGCAGACGCATTTTTCAGTTAGCGTCTGAGGTGCTTGGACACACATATAGAATGCAAGGACATACCGTAGTTCCACAGCACAGTCTCCGTCTCGTTGAGCTTCATGGTGTCGGTGCAGTACGTCTCGCCTAGATCGAGATCCAAGCACTACGAAAGGAAACATCTCGTCAGATCCACCACGAGTATTGAAAGGCAACAAACTGAAAACATACATCGTTAATGCTGAGTCGCTGGAATTCGTCGATCAACGCCAGACCGATCGGGATGTACAGAAGGAATCCGATCCAGAACAGCGTCGTGAAGACCAACTGGATGTAGAATGTGCGTTTAGCGCTCGACTTCGACACGTCCCATGGATTGAAAGCATTCTTTGTCGACGGTTCCTCAGACTCTGGAATGTAGTAAGCTGTGCCTGCACTTAGACGAGAAATCTTGAGGCTCACAACGGTCTGTAGCAGTAACTAGCTCAGTCATCCTGCATGTATGTGAGCAAGAAGTAGTTGTGTACGCACATTGAACACTAACGCGATGGCTTCAAGCACGAAAAACCAGTAGGCCGCATATTTATGGACATCAGGATAACTCGTAGTGCTGAAGAACGCAAGTACCGGCAGTCCAAGTGCTGAAAGCACGCCCAACACGCGCACAATTTCGCAATACTTTCGGATGGACTTCCAGTACAAATTGTCAGAGTTCTCTTGGCCCACTTTGTCGACAATATCCCGTTGAAATTGGTAATTGGCAACCCACGTCAAGATGAGAGCGATCGCCACGATCGATAGTCCCACACAGAAGACAGAGTAGCCCGGTGCATCTACCACGATCAACGACACCCATAACATCCATGAATCTAACATCTCAATTGAAGGTTGTAGACTCGATCTCACCTCTGCCTGTGTCGGAGAAATAGGGCCACGCCAGCCCACCGAGGTAAATGTCCTTGGCCTTAGCAAGCGATACACACGTGACGAGGGTCGTGATCACTGCCGTTGTGGCCACAATGGGAGCCACTCGCGTCCCAATTGCGAACGACACAACCTGCATCTGCTGCTGATTGTCGATTTGACCTGGGGCCCGGAGATGCTAGTAACTCTCCTGCAATGGAGAGTTTGGGAATGACATGACAGAGCGGACTATTCCGTCGTAGCGTCGAGCATGCGGTAACTCCGTCCACTGGACTGAGGCTGTAGATAGAGGTCAGATTGCAGGCGCAAGGGTTACTCCGTAACGTAAACAAACACATGGCTACATTCGCTTTATCATGAGAGCCAGTGCTCACATACACTTCAACCTATACTTCTTCCTATAACTTCCATCGCCTTCAGCGTTTCTGGTGGTTTACAACGCGCATGACGATCAGTGTAGCCAATCGCATCACTAACAAAAGACCCACCACGACAGCGACCGAGCGAGTGGTGTCTTCACGACGTGCACCGAAGACCTCGTCGATGTACGAGGTCAGAGGGATGTTTGCCACTGCAGGAGGAGCTTCTGTGAGTGGTTGACAGCCCAATGGCCATCCCGAGACGTCGATCGTGGAGTTGGTGGAAGAAGCCTCTGCGATCTGCTGCAGTTGCTCGTCCGAACAGTCTCCCAGCACGAGAGCAGTGAGCACTTCGAACGTGTAGCGATGCGGCACGAGCTGGAACAACCACTTGTACCCGTCGGGGATACTCGACGCCGGCGGATTGAAACCCATGAACATGAGGAAGATCGAGTCAAAGAGAGCGCCCCACACAGCAGCGAGCTCAATACTGGGCATGGCGAACGTGAAGAACTGGCCGAAGAATGTCTGGAACAGGATATGCATAGTCAAAACTAGCCAGTATACCACAACTTGAGCGAAGTCGCCGTACGCGGAGAAGCCTGCCATCGGGTAGAAGACGCCCACGAAGATCATGGAAGCCACAGCCGCATAGGGAATCTCCACCACTGATGAGGCTACAAAGTACCACAGAGCGCTGTACGTCTCGGACGCGCGTTCACGATAATAAGGTCCGCGTTCCTCAAAGGCAACAGGCAGCACGTGGACGTATGCTCCGACGCCTAAAAAGCACGTCGAGAAGAAGATCAGACCCACCGCGCCGTTAGCACCTTGGTACGTAGTGAAGTCATTGCTGCCTGAGTAGACCAACCCAAACATCAAACCCAGAGTCAACGCAGTCACCATTCGAGTGAATGTGTAGAATGGAGTGCGCCAATAGAGCCGCAAGAACCGACGCATGAGCATAGTGAACTGCAGTCCATCACTTGCAGCTCGACGCTGAGCATACGTCACAGGTGGCAGTCGATCTGACGGCATGAACACTCCAGGAGCTGCTCGCTTAGCATCCAGACGCTGCTTCATGCGACTTGATCTGTAGGCTGTAACGAAGTCAAAAGCTTCGTCGCGATGCTGACGAGAGAACTCCGAGCTGATCGAAGAGTTTAGAGAAGCATCCAGTTGTTGGAGTCGAGGGTTCTTCATCGCTGCTGGTCGAACCTTCATGGGGAATGATGCCTGAAGCTTGATTTTCTCAACTCCAGCACCAATCACATCCAGCATCCACGTAGCTGGGTTGTCTCCAGGCTTAAAGATCGGCGCATTGCGTGGCAGACCCAATCCTTGGAAATAATTGACAAGAGTTTCGCCGTTGCGTCCCAATTCGCCGAAGTACACAGTCTCTCCACCGCGTTGCAGCAGCAGAAGAGTGTCGAAAAGCAGGAATACTTCGGTCGACGGCTGATGAATGGTACAGATCACTGTACGTCCAGTGTCCGCTACCTTGCGAACGCCATCCATGAGCGCCTTTGCTGCTCGGGCGTCCAGACCGCTGGTTGGTTCGTCCAAAAACAACACACTAGGCTGCGCAGCGAGCTCCACTCCTAGTGTCAACCGCTTGAGCTGCTCACTCGAACTGCCACGAATGAGTTGACCAGCTACGCCGCGCAGATCCAGAAGATCCAGACACTCATCGACAATCTCTTCAACCCTTTCAGGAGCTACCCGGTCGCCTTGACGGAGATAAGCAGAAAACTGTAAGGCTTCACGGAATGTAGAGGCGTCAGAGTGCACATCCGTCTGCTCACAATACCCGGTGCATCGGCGCACTGCAAGTTCCGTAGCATCCACGCCATTGAGCAGTACGCGGCCTCGTAACGTTGGTGCTCGATTCTTCTTCTTGCCTGATTTCCCCCTTTTTCGACCAGCCAGCACGTCCATGAGTGTCGTTTTCCCAGCTCCAGTAGAGCCCATGAGTGCTGTCATTGTACCCGGTACGGCGTAACCAGTGACACCCTTCAGTAGTTCACGAGTCACCGTTTCCTTGCTCTTCCCCGCATTATCACGAGAATCCACCGCCACAGGACGACCTGGAGCTCCTTCAGTGCCACGTTGTCCAGCAGGATCCACTAAAGTATCTGCAGGGACTGTGATACTGTATCGTAGATCCTGGAAAGCGAGCGTCACCGGCGGTACATCCCATCGAGGCGTCAAGCGTACCGTGATTTCTTCTGTATTAGTACGAAGTCCTTGTGAAGCGTAAAACGAGTCGTTCATGTCGTCTTCACCCAACACTGCGATATCATTGCGACCACTAGGAAACCCAGCCAAGTCGCTCTCCAGTAATTCGTCTGCATCTCCATGAGGCGTAGACAACATGGCGTAAGATTCCTTCGGTTGTCTCGGCGTTGCGATGGTCGTATCCGAGAAAGAAGCCGACAGCTGTGGCGGCACCGCTGGGGAGGATTCATGACGGTGATATTCCAGCATAACGTACGATAAGAACATGCTGACGACGTACATGGACGCGAGAAACACAATTCCCAGCACTACCCACTTGGGATCATCAGGAACGTCGTACAACCCGAGAGAATATTCACCCAACGTCCTGCCTCCGTACATCTTGCAGTAGTCGATTCCACCGTATTCGCAGACATCCAGCTCACTGCTGCGGTACTGACTTACCATAACTCCACGTGTTGTCCAAGCGAGAGGGTTGCTCCAGTAGATCCACCGCAATGCAGTCGGGAGCTGCTCACGGGAGACAGCAAAACCAGCAAAGAGGATGAAAAATAGCAGAGCTAAGGTGGACAGCGGCTGAGCTATATGCAGCGTCGAACATGCCGTGGACAGGAAGTAGTACTCGCCGACGAAGACCAGCACTGTCAACAGCATATACAGCACGAATACCAGGAACTGCTCCGCTGTTGCGATGAATCCTCCCATCCAGTAGACCAGAGACCCGAAAACCAGAGCTTCAGTGATCGCGAGAGGGATCTGACTGAGACACGAGGCTAGAACGTAGCTGGACGTGCGGTAGAAGTTGGCGCCGCGGTGTTTATAGAACACTTCACGTGCATCAAAGAACGGCGCTAATGTCGCGGACTGGCCAAGTCCAAGAAACAGCGCACACGAGAAGATGACACCCAACGTCACCTGTGAATCTGCAAGATTCATGCCGTAGTAGACTGACCCCACCATCAAACCGACGAGCAGATCCGTCAGCAAGCGACCCACGAAGAAGACCTTGTTGCGACCAAATAGCCGTATCTGGCGCTTCACCACTGTCCACGTGCTACGTAGATAGCTCTGTCGGAACGCTGGAATTCGCAGTAGCGCTTCTTGGTCGAAGTAGAGTCCTCTCTCGCCATTTCTACTGTGCATCTGGCTGTACGCCTCCATGTCATTATCGAGATGATCCAGCTCCTCCACCATCGCTTCGTACATGGGCGACATGATCCACAAGTCGGCGAACTCGTTGGCAGTGCGAGGATGACGACGTCTACCGGGCATTGGAGCATGAGATTGCTCGTACTGGATCTGCTGTGGAGACGCCAAGTCGCACAGGAAGTCAGCGAGATCACGTCCTGGCGGACAAACAAAGCCCAACGCCTCAAAGTAAGCCTGAATATGAGCTCGAGGTCCGTGATACAAAACTTCACCATCCGCTAACAGTAGCACATTATCGAAGAGCGCCAGAACTTCAGGAGCAGGCTGTTGCAGCGAAATGACCACAGTCTGTCGCTGTTGTCTGGCTAAACGGCGTTGAGCATTGACAATATCGAAAGCTGCAGAGCTGTCCAGCCCCGTCGTGATCTCGTCCATCAGCGACACTGCATGAGGACCAAACGCCATCTCTCCAGTCGTCACACGCTTCTTCTCTCCTCCAGAGACTCCACGGATGCGTTCATCGCCCACGATGGTGCCTTGGCAGCGTGTCAAACCAAGTTCTCGAGTCACAGTCACTGGATCTCGCTCACCGCCGAGATATGAGGTAGGAAGCGCCAGTGGATATTCTGAAGCCGGAGACTTGTACACGGCACCAACAGGCTTCGCATCGGAGTTGATGGCACAGCACTCGAACGCGAAATCAAGCGTCTCCTTCACTGTCATCACGGGCAGATGAGTGTCTTGCTGAGGGACGTACGACACGCACTGAGAAAGTTGCGCCTTGAGTTCATCACGTGATAGACCGTTGTACGAGACTTCGCCGTCCAAAGTCACACTCTTGTTGGCCACATCGAGCCGTCCGCTGAGAAGTTTAAGCAGCACAGACTTGCCAGATCCAGAGCGGCCGAGAAGCAACGTCATGGAGCCTGGCGTGAAAGCTCCAGTCACGTTCTTCAATATCTGACGACGTACGAATGTCTTGTTCGCAGTGAAGGCAGCAGCAATCCCGCGTACGTGGTTCGCGATGGTCGGAAACTGCTTGGCGGCCAGAGACTCGCGACTCAGTTGCCCTGAAGAAGCCTGAGCTGCTGCTGCCGCTGCAGCAGGCGACACTGGAATGTCTACTGCTAGCGAAACATGACGGAAAGTTACGAAGAGCTCAGGTACAGCACCCACTGGCCGTCGAGGCGTGAACGGGGAGTCTCTGATACCTCCACTAGCTGATGCTCCATGGCGTCGAGATCCGCGAGTTTGGTGGTGTCGACGCAGTACGTGCTTTTGGTAGGAACTCCCAAGAGACGACTCGAGAATGGGCGTGGGCTCGCTCGATACGCTTGAGATAGACGTGCTGAAGTCCACCGTCGGTAGTCGCTTGGACTTGTGAGAGCTGTTCGGCTTCCGCTTGCTGTTGCGGGAATTCCGACGAGAACTTGGCATCGTCCAGCGATTCAAGCTCCAGGTGCCTTCGCAGCGCAGAGATAAATGCCGAATGAGGACGCCAAGCGAATCGAAGCGAGGAACTCTGCTTCCAGCGAGCTGGATTCCAGTTTCTTCCCTCGGCTTGCATCGATCCATACGACCCAAGCCAGTTAGAGTGAAGAGTAGTCATCCAACTTCTGTAGACCGCGTCGAAGGTGACCGTCTTGATAATGTAATACTCCATCGAACTGGGGTGGCCAATACTACAACCTTGCTACCAGCCACAAAAAGAGTAGGATAACACATGGAGACTCACCGGTGATGACACCAGCATCCAGGGCCACTGGTAGTATAATACACAACACACAGAGTAGTATTACAGAGAACACACTATCTAACCAGCAACACAGCAATAAATCCTACGGGAGACCTGTTCATACCGCATTGGCAAAAGCTGTGCCTTCGACCGTGTGCTTGGGTGTGTCGGCGACCGTCGTTCCAGCGTCCTTTTCCTCCTCCGCCAAGTCCAGTACGTATTTGCGGGTGTAGAATCCTACCACGAACAGCAACAGCAAGGCGCTTCCTGCTCCAACAAGCAGCAAGATCATTTCGGTGCTGTGTCTGGCGGCCGTGGGGCTGGCCAGCAAAGCTGTAAAGTTCTCCACAGCATGGCCCGAATAGACCCAGATGAACGAGAATGGAAGTCCAGTAAGCAACGCCGCTGCAAAATACACTGGGAATCGCACGTCTAGCACGCTGAGGCCGTAGTTCTTGACTGCAATAGGGAAGAACGCCACGCGCGTGAGGAACACGACCAGGATCTGTCGCTTACGTAACAGACTCTGGAAGCCTTGCAGTGCTGGATGGCCCTGTGCCATGTAAGCGTGCACGCGGCGGCGACACAGATAGCGGCCAATGACGTAGGACAGCACAGAACCCACGAGTTTGCCTGTTGTAGCCAACAGCAGGCCTAGCCATAAGCCGAAAATGTAGCCAGCCAGCAGCTCAAAGGCTGTAGAAGGGAAGCACAACACCACGAAGCACGTGAAACTGCATACGTAAAGCGCGGCGCCAAGCGTCTCGTGAGTCTGCAGCCACTGGACCACGAGGTCGAAGTCGTCGCTACGCACGAAGCGAAAGAGCAGGAGACCAACGGTCAGGCCAAGCGCCACGATGCCTAGCACCAACAACGCGCGCTTAAGTTGCATGAGATACGAATTGGAGGCGGAAGGTTTCACTTGCTGGAGCTTGGACGCCTCCAAGTCCACAGGCGCGTACATGATGTGAGACGAGGAGCGATGGTGTCACGCTTCGAGCCTTGTGTGGGTCGTGGTAAGTTACCGACTGGATGGAAATTCATGTGCCACACACGACACGGCGATGCAGTTTTCTGTTCTTTACTGAAAAGAAATGATCGCCTGCGGTATCTGATAATATTGAGTATGAAAGCCTGTTAAGAGCAATTTTGTATTGCATTATATTTGCTGACTTTTAAACTTGTGTCGAATTTATCATGAAATAATTGATCGAAACATACGGTTGGCCGTTCTTTGCTCGTTGTCCCGCACGCATTACTTGATTTTACTATTGGATCAGAATCGAATCAGATATTGAAGCACAGACGTCACTTAATCGGGTACCTTCGTGAAGTGACAGGGCACGCATTCCATCACGATGGACTGGCTGAAGAAGAAGAAGGAGGCGGCGCAGCAGGCGGCTGCAAAGATCTCCAACAAGCGCACGGCCTTCCGCGGAGAGGGAAACGTCCTGGGAGGTGGAGATGGGTCTGCTGCTGCTGATCCAGCACCCACCGCGTCTAGACGGCCGTCCATCAAGGTGAATAGCAACCCACCCCACTGCCATCAGCAATTTACGTTTTAACCATCTCTCTGGCCCCTCCAGCTACCGTTTACAAACCAAAAGCCCCTTGCTCTTTCCGCTGAGGAGCAACAGAAGCGGCGTGAACTGCAGGTACGCTGTAATCCGGATAAAGTGGCCTGTTGAATGACCTAATAGATTCGATTGCTGCAGGCCAAGGCGCTGGAGCAACGCGGAAATGCGTGGGAGAAGCGTGTGGCCAATGGACGCAAAGCGAGACTGCAGCAGGAAGAGGAGCTCGAGAATAAGTTCCAGTACACGGAGGCTTCATCTTCGACTGCAGAGGCATCACCTTCAGGTCCACCGCCCGTCGTGCTTTCCAATGAGCAAGTGAAGGCGCGTGAGCTGCAAAATGTACACCAGCAGATGGGGTTTAATCCGTACGCAGCGACGTTCTCGTCCTCTACACAGGCGGTGTCTGCCATGAATTCTATTGGACGGGGATCGACTGCTCCTCCGTCTGCCCCGAATGGCGATGCTGTACCACCTCCGGCTCCGTTCTCAGCAATCCCTCCAGTAGCAGCGCCAAGTGTTGTGTCCAGCAGCCCAGTAACTGAAGAGAACGGTGCTGTGTACGTGCTGCTGCGGCAAGACCCGCCACGCGCTATCACGGCGGCGGAAACGCTGATCAAGATGCTGACCAACGTCGCGAAGAACCCACAGGTTTGCTGTGTGATGACTATTGCTGGGAGTGACGTACTGTATGTCTAAGAATCTGTTTTCTTGTGGCTACAGGAAGAAAAGTTCCGCAAAATCCGGCTATCGAATGCCGCCATTCAGTCCAAGCTGGTGTCGGTGCCTGGAGCTGTTGATATTTTGGCAGAAGCCGGTTTCTTGAGGGTCGAGCTTGATGGTGAAGGCTATTTAATGCTGACTGCAGATGCGTTCCAGGCTGAGCGTGTGCAGGCCGCAATTGACCGCACGGAAGTGGCGCTGATTCAGCTCCAGCATGATTCCGCGTAGATCTGATAGATGCAGCGGTATCTGGCAACCTCAACATGATACATGCTGCAATTGTAACTCAATGTAGGTCTTCCAAGCTACAGATATTGCTATAACGTGCTATTGATTGTAGATGTCAAGGAGGAAGAGTTTGTTACACCAAGGAACATTGTTCAAGAGGTACGCGTCGTTGTTAATAGAGAAAAGAACGTTGAGTGCAGCATTCTGTGCGGATCAGTCAAAAGATGAATGCTACACAGCCTTCAGGGTATCTTAGAGGATCGCAGCGGCCACTGTGGCGAGCACCGCAGCAGCACCGACCGCCGATAGAGTGGACTTGTCGGTGCCTCCGTTCGCAGGCGTTGTCGACGGTGGGGTGGTGCGAGGACTCGCCGGAGTGTTCGTCGGTGGCTTGGTGGTCGTCGGAGAATCACCGACTGCAGGTCCAGAGCCTGCAGCTGATGCATTCCCAGCAGACCCAGCCGACCCAGCAGCACCGAATTTTCTTCCACAGCGTCGCTCAAGGGGATCGATGATATCAGCATACAGACGAACGGGACCGATCGTACACTCCTCCGGTGCCACTTGCTTCAAGGCTTTCATCGCCTCAGTACACGCGTTGCTGTTGCATACAGCGGTGACTTGCGCATCCGTTGCCGCAGTCATCGACGCAGGATTGTATCCGGAGTCAGCGCGACACGTCTGCACGTTTCCATTTATCAGGAGCTTTGCTATCGCCGTTGTGTCGCACGGAGCAGCAGTTACACCATTGAAGAAGACAGCAGCGTTCAAAAGCAGAAGAGTGGCAAGAGTGATCTTCATCTTCGGGAAACGGAGAAGCAGTTGAGTGTTACCGGACTGGAGAAAGACAAAGTGAAGTGGAGTATGTGGAGATCGGGCAGTTTGACTCTACTTGATGTGGCAGTTGGACACGCGATTCAATACCGTTGGAGCGACGAGGTGCCATGTCAGCTTGAGAAAGGTGACAAATGAGAAGCTTGTCGAAGTTTTTTCTCATTTTGCAAGTTCGCTCAAAAAGCTGAAGATGGATCGATACAACGACATAAACAATACCGGACACTCACGACGCAGTCGCTCACGTTCTCCGCGCGAATCGTACTCACGCAATGTGCGGCAGCGGCGAGCATATCACGATCGATCACTAAGTAGATCATTTGATGGGCTTGGAGGTCGAAGCGAGCGCTCCCACCGTGACCTGCAACAACGAGATCGAAGCCGTGGTCTAGCCCGAGATCATTCCAGCTACTATGATGGATACCACTACTACGGAGGGAAACGCTATCACGACTCCTATTATGGTCGTTCGGCTCGTGTCGTTCGCGACCGAGACGCCATTCCAGTCGATCTGACTATCGCCATCGTGAGACTGATGACGGATCTTCTTCACGTCGTGACTACCCTGATAAAAACAGTAGTGGCCGTAGCTGCTCGATGTCTCGTCATATCGTGGAGCCGCCAAGATATCGCAATGGAAGTCGTAGTACTCGAGAGCGCTCCGGTGGGTGGTCCGTAGTGAGCTCGCTCAAGTAATGGAAATCGAAGTGCTACACAAACTCGCTCCGCGTCGAGTAGAGCTCGAAGAAGCTTGAGGCTGCGTCAGCGATGCACGAATAGCCAGGGCCATTGACGTCGCGCGTGTAGATGAAGATGCGGAAGCAGAACGGGCTCAGCTCGACCCGCGACTGGGAAGTAGGTCAGCTTCAGCTTGGTTGGTGGGCCATGAGGCAGGCTGTACCATTCCTTGACTTTTTGGTTCGCAGTGACTTTGTCAAACGTAATGTTGTGGAACTTGTAGCCGTAGTCGGGATGTGGTCCATGAAACCCTCTTTAAAGGTGTATAAGCGGCTATGGAAACAAGGCCACCTGATGACGAGTGGAGTGGAAGCAGCCAGCCGCTGCCAACCGATGCCGAGGAAGCGTATTTGATGGAATAGATGCGTGTTTCGAGTCGTGCTGGTGGAGGGAGCAGTGGCAGTGCTCAGCAGTTGAAGTCAAACTGCTGTCGAGTGACACTGGACGCTGCAAAATGTCCGCAGATCTTCCAGTATCATATCAATGTGGTATCAGGGGGAGACACAACGTCTACAATGTCTGAAGGTGCTGAAAACAAAGGCCGTCGACAGCCTGGTGGCCGTCGCTTAGTGAAGTCGCTTCTGCGGCAGGTTGTTATCGATGCTATGGAGCAGCATCCGAATAGCTTTGGAGAAATTTCGATTGCTTACGATGGTTCGAATACGTTATTCTCTCCTTCTGCATTGCCTATACCAGACGATGGTGTCGTTCTCAACGTTCGTTGCAGTGCCAGGAACGGCTATGGCCTTGATCCGCCAGGTGTCAACAACGGCTGGTCACGCCCGTTTACAGTTAACATCGAGCTAGTCAAGGAACTGGATACAAACTTGCTGCAGACGGCGTTCTCGGACTCGACAGTCAACGCCAAGCCACTGGTTTACGCTTTGGATACAATTGCAAAAGCTGGAATTGTTGGAAGGTGAATACTTTTTTTTTTTTACAGTTAGCTTATGATGATTACTAAGTTTTTTTTTCTTAAATTCTGAATTGTCCTTGTACAGGCGAGTTGAATGCAGAGGCAACTTTTTTTTTCCAGATTGAACCCGAAAGACTTGAATGGAGGTCGAGTTCTGTACGAAGGTCTGTGTTAGGTTACCTAACTTAGGTATCCAAGCCAGTGCGTTACGGCTGCGGTGCTCGGGCGTGCAAAAGTCCAGGTGCTGGCAAATCTTTGTCTCAAGATTAACGCAAAACTAGGTGGTTGTAATGCCATTTCCCTGGAAGGAATACTACCACTAGTGCACGATGCGCCTACTATATTGATCGGAGCTGACGTTTGTTACCCGAAGATGGAGAAAAATAGTCGTCAGTCGATTTCGTCAGTCGCTGCGTCGCTGGATCGCCACTCGTCCAAGTACGCAGCACGTCTCGCGGTCCAGAGTGGACACAACGATGTCTCGCACCTGCCTCCAATTCTATGGGAGCTCTTCATAGAGCACTACAAACACGCTCGGCGTCAGCCTAAGCACGTTGTTTATTATCGAAGTGGAGTGTCTTTCTCCCGAATGGACGATGTGGTGCAGGCTGAAATGCGTTCACTGAGGAAGGCTTTTCGAATGCTAGCAAAGGATTAACCTTAAGTGACGTTCATTGCGGCCAACTCGCAGCATCACATCCGATTGTTTGTGTCGGAGCGAGCCAGTCCCAATGAGAAAGATCCCAGTGGAAATCCAATGCCAGGAACGATCGTTGATGCTGGAGCTGTTGCAGACCCACAAGCAGACCCACAACGACTCAACTTTTTTCTCGTGGGACATCGTGGAATTCAAGGCACTAGTGTGCCTACTCAAGTACACGGTGATGGTGGATGAAAACGAATTGTCAGCGGACCAGATTGAGCAGCTCACCTACCGACTATGCTACTGCTACGCTCGTTGCATGCGCTCGGTGGCTATAGTGCCGCCGATTCACTATGCGCAGCTTGCAGCAGAACATGCACTCGGCGCGGTCACCGATACGGCGACAGATTGCTCATCGACTTCCTCGAACATGGGGTCCGCGTACTCGCTGGCAGGTTTGAGTGACAAGCTCGCTGGAGTTATGTACTTCGTCTAACGAGATTGTTTTGTGGAGTTTGGTTTTTTAGTTCCAAGTAATATTCGATTAACATACACATTCCAGTGGGGTCGAAGCTTTCATGTACTATCAATCACTAAGTAAGTCTCTGATGGTCGATCGGAAGGCGACACGAGTAATGGGATCGCGCAGAAATGAGTATTGTTGGTCTGTATCCCTGTTGATGCCTCAAACGTTGCTGTCCGATCTCGGTCTTTATCCAAAACTTCGACGTGGTGTGTCTGGAAGGAGATTGAGTAGCCTACGAGCGTCAAGATGCAGCAAAGTTGTGCTGCTGCTCTCATCTGCGTGGCATTGTAGTCGTCCTCTATTGTTGCAAGGTAGAAAAATACGTCAGGAGTGAGCAGTCCGCGTTATCAAACACCCTCAGCAGCAGACTTACCATAATTCCAGAGCTTCGTGTGCACATTGTCGAACTTCATCGTCACAGAGCAGTACAAGTCGCCCAGATCGCGTTCTAAGCACTGAACCAAGTACAAGTTAAAAATTCATAACGCTGAGGACACTACAAGCATAAACACTCACCTGGTCAATTGTAAGTCGCTTGAAAGGCTGGACAACAGTGAGGCCGATCGGCAAGTACAGCAAGAAGGCTACGAAAAATAATGCACTGCAGACAGTTTGAAGCCGCAGCGTTCGACGCATGCCATAGAATTTTGACTCCGCGTCGATGTCCTCAAAGTCGCAGATCACTGGAATCTCCCCAGCAGTGGCTTCAGGCACCTCGGAGCTTTTGAAAAGCTGATAGCTCACAAAAGTCTGCAATTAAGAACAGTACAAGTGAGTTCGAGAAGTTTACTGAAGCAGATGTAGTGACACAACGTTACGTTGAGAAAGATGGCCATAGTTTCCAGCAAGAAGAACCAGTACGCTGCGTTATTGTGCAATGATGGATACGATGCGGTGCTGAAAAAAGCCTGATCAAAAGGAAATCATGATGAACAAGACAGAGTAATCGTTAGTCTGCGTCCCAATTAGTTTACCTCGTCACGTACGAGTATCGGCAGTCCGACGGTTGAGATAATACCGAAGGCAGTGGAAGCTCTAGCGGTCCAATCCACGAAAGGTGAGACGTAGCCTAGCAGTGTGGGGATTCTCAACGCCGAGCTCTGGAATTTGTAGTTGAAGTACCAAGTAGCACACAAAGCCATCGCGACAATGGTAAGGCCGAGGCAGAAAATGTAGTAGCCTGGTGAATCTACGCCCACAGACATCGCATATAAGACAACGAAAACGCTCAAGCACAAAGATTGACTGGGCTGTGCACACCTCGACCGAGATCTGAGAAGTACGGCCACGCGAGGCCGCCAGTGTAGACGTTGTTGGTCTTGGCAACGATCAAGCATGTTACAAGCGTTATAACCACCATGCCCGATGCTACGACGGGAGCGGCACGACGCGCCGTGACGGCCATTCCAGGTTAACTTCGACGCTTAATTGCTTAATGACTGAGAGCAACAGCTCGCTGTGAATGCCGTAGAATAAAACGCGAGACAATTAGCACCTCGTCTTGCCTTCGAGCTAACAGCCGACAATCCACCACCACAAATAGTCGAACTGCTGACGAACAAAACCCTGCCTTATCCAGGCTTGAAGCTGGCTCTGTATGTTACTCAAAAGTTTACATTGTTGTTGACTGTTTCATCTGCTCTCGCCCTGTAGCGATTAAATACGTCTCGGGGCCTACCATATAGCGATCCTTAAATTCTCTCTTCTCACGTAATAGTCACAGTCGACTGGCACTCTTGGTCATGAAGTAGTTGGCCATGGAGCTGGCGTAGGACGCGTCCATAGCGTCCGAGCAGCGGTCACTCCGCTCCGCCTGGCGATCAGTGGGCAGCATGCGATGCGCGCTGCGGTTCTCGCCCGAGATGCGCGTCTTGTCATAAATGGAGCGTCGGCTGTGCGCCACCAGCAGCAACGCCTCATTCAGCAACTTTTCCTGTCGCGAAAACGGCATTCTGTGAGTCCGCCCGCAAGCGGGCGGTGCCTTCACACCGAAATACTTGGCCATATTGCGCGCGTACGAGTCTTCGAGTGCGTCGCTGCTGCTTTCACGTCGGTCAACAGGCAGCATGCGGTGTGCCGTGCGGTTCTCGCCTGACATGCGTGTGTTCTCGTAGATGGTATTTCGGCTGTGCGCCAACTCCAGCAGCGCGGCGTTGACGCCCGAGCTGTGGCTTACGAAGGTCGTCGTCGTGAGTGACATGTTGGTGGACGTGGTGCTTGGTGCTTCTGTACTTCAAGGCAAAATGCGGAATGGTCTTCATCTTAGTGCGACCGTTGGATCCCCCATCCTCGCGGTTTTTGTTTTTGTGCTACGTCGACATTTCCACGACATCGGTTCTCGTTGGTAAATCGATTTTCTTTTACACCTGCAATTCGTATGAACCTGTGAGAATATACGTGACTGTTCGAATCAAAATGTTGTCGGGTATTGAGTGATGGAGGAGCTTCCATATTGAAGTTTCTCCAACAGCATGGTCATGACGGATGAGGGGCTCTGGCGAAATGTGGCGGTAAAGTCGCGCGCGTCACCAGTTCAAATCTATGTCGCTTCAACAGAAACATGCACGCATTCCGGTTTAACTTTAATCTGCGTGCTTGCAGAGGTGCAAGCATGCAGCGTTGGTGTCGCTGGTGGATTCGGTAAAGCATGGCAGTGCTGGTTGACTGCGTCTTGTTCTCGTGGTGAATGGCGCGAATGTGCGAGAAAAACGAGATCGTGCGATCAATCAACGGGCATCTCCGTATCACGTGCATATGAGCAGGGGTGCTGGGTTTGTATACTGAAGTAGTTGTTTTGAGTAGGTAAGTGTTCGCTGGACGGTGCCGACGAGTACTAACTTTAATGTTTATTATTGTCTTTAACTGGCTGGATTGGGCACTGGTCAAGCGTCCCAAAGGTTTCAATGATGTAAATGGGGATACCTTGTTAATTGTCCGGCCAGTTTACATGCTTAACAGTTGCGCAGACAGTTACATGGTTGCGCTTTGCAACACCTTCCTTCGACAGAGCACTCATCTGGATTCCAGACTGGACCACCAACAATAGCCTGAATATCAGATGGGTGGTTAAAAGACCAGTAAGTATCAAAAGAAGGTAGTTTTGCTGCCAAAAAGAGGTATCTAATTCAAACTTGCCGTCACATCTCAATTAACGAACCTAGGCGAGATGGCGACGGGCGAGGCGCTGCTGGCGCAGCTCTCGAGTCTCTTCCAGCAAGACCCACTCATGTACGTGTTGATGGGACGCTTCTCTGTTATCTTCATCTATTGTATGCATCCGTACTCCCGCCTAACTCGCGTCATCCCGTCCGAACTTCCACTAGTGATGAGGTGGGGCTGCTTTTCGGCATCGAGCCGAGTGACCTGACGCCTGAAACTGCCTTCTTCCTGGAAAACCACAAGCTTGGTGTAGCCTTTGCGGCTGGAATCCCGCTATTCCATGCTGCCCGTACGCAGTTCCATCCGCTGAACAAGCTCTTGCAGCAAGAGGCAGCCGAAATCATGCAGTCTAAGGACAGCGACCGTCGCGTCCAGCTGTTGCATTGCACGCGGGCCATCCTTCTTATCAGCGCTGACTTCTACACAGCATGGAACACTCGGTGAGGGTGTATTATTGGGGCTGGTGGGTAACTTGAGGGGGTTATTTACATGTGCGTGGTGGCTCTCTAGGAAGTCGTTCGTAACCCGTGGCTGGCTGGACGCGCTGGAGGAGGTGCAATTCACTAATTTGGTGTTTACACTGCATCCGAAGAGTATTGATACGTGGGCTTATCGGTGAGTCGATTGATAGGACAGGGCTGCTGCTTAATGCCGAGGAACTGACAAGTATCGTGTTCTTGCAGACGCTGGCTGGCTATTCGACTGTGTGGGTCCCTCTCTGAAGACGAACTCCGAGTGTTTTTCGCGCAACAGATCGAGGTTTGTCGTCGACTGGCTGAGCAGAAACCTCGGAATTATCATGCGTGGAGCTTCCGTCATTGGATCGTGTCTCGACTTCCGCTGGATCTCGTGCAGAAAGAGCTCGAGGACATGGAGCGTTGGTGTAGAACACACGTAACTGATCACTCGGGATGGAACCATCGTCAACACACATTGAATGAGCTGGTGAAGAAGCATCGAGACTCCGGTGAGGTGGATGTACCGCAGAATTTGGTTCTTGCAGAGTACAAGTTCGTGTCAAAAATCGTGGCCCAGTACCCGACGCACGAGGCGCTGTGGTGTCATCGTCGCTATGTGATCCAGTACTTGCTGAACGAAGCTGCAAGGAAACCCATCAATGAAGACCCAGCATCGTCGGAGGAGCTAACGTCTCGACTGGCTGGGACTCTCTCAGATTCTCCAAGTGAGAATGTAGCACTGAGTGAATTGTGGGATGGGACTTTCAAGATATTGTGCAGCAATGCGGGCGAGCGTTTTGCGGTGTTCTATGCTATCGTTCAAGAGATTGAGACTGCTTGGAAGTGTGGAAATCAGTTCTCTCGCCGGTATGCAGCCTGGTGTCTTGCGCGGCTTCATGTGTTCTTGCAAGGCAGACGGACAACTGATGAGAAGATTCAACATGAAGTATTGGCACGTGATCTCAGCTCTTTGGCGTCGAGCATGCAACAGCATTTAGTCCAAGAAGATAGCGTGTTAGAAGATTTGTGGATTGGCGCATTAGGAAGCCTGCACATGGGTTGATGAATGAAACGGTACCAACTTTAAGACTTTATTGGTGCGAGCTGATGAATTGATGACATGCAAGTTTAAACGCAGCTCCCCACGTGTCAAAGCAGAAACAGAAAGTGGCTGTGATTCTGTGTAAGCCGACTAACCGGCTTACGAGACAGCTGGCGCGGCGTCGCTTTGCACACCCTCCGAATGATTTCGATGTTCATGAGGTGATAGTGGCACTGGAGCTACTGGAGTAGGCTAAATGATCAGTATTGTGGTGAGCTGAAAATTATCTTCGTGCGAATAAAGGCACTGGTCTCAACTCCGTTGGCTACGACCTGAGAATCTTTCTTAACTAAAATGCACGATTACCTTAATTTCAACAGCTTAAAGTTCACATGAGACGAGCTAAAAAATCTGAGCCCTTGTGTCGACCACCGGATTTGATCCTCGTTCCCCTTCACCTTCACAACATAAGTGGGCTCATCCGTCGTCCGACAACTTGCCATTGCATTCCTGTTCTTCGGAGGGGCCCTTGCTCTCAGACACAGCTCTGCCAAGACAAATTTGAATGGAATGTACTGTTTGTATGTTCCATCTTTTGCGTAGTTTTGTACATGGAGAAGGATGACGACGCAGGTGCCTAGACAATATGAAATACTCGAGGAGCTAGGCTTTCGTACACGAAAGTATCGACAACACAAAACACGAAAATCTCGTCTGGTATTTCTTGTACTTCCTAATCCAGACGAAGGCGAGCAATAAACTTGGGACTCAAATGCAGCCGATCCAGCTAACGCGTTCAAAACTAGCAAGTATCCATGGCAGTTAGGAGGAATCAGAATGTGTCTTGACGAATTTACTCCGTGTTGGACGTTGCAGCAACGAATCGGGCGATGCCGTTGACAATGGTGCCTTGAGAGAAGTGATACAACAGTCGAAGCTCCCACGCCGAGCCCATACCGTATTGCTCATAAATATCTTTTAGTGTCACAAAGTCCTCGAGCTCTTGGTCGCACTGCAAGTCCTGTCGAATGGCAACGCCGGTGCTCTTCCGCGCTTTGGCCGATTCACTCAACCCACTGAGCGTACAGTTCACGGTAGGCAGCACGATGCATAGGTTGTCGTACTTGCCCAACTTGAGCAGTGCAGCTAGGTGTTTCTTTAAGTGACGAATCTTCAGCTTGGGCGACGTGGTGAACAGCGTGCGCTCCAGCTTGGGTGCGTTGGGCTGCTCTTCTTCATGTAGCAGTACGCGGAAGTTCACACGATCAACCGCTGTATCTGTTGACTTAGAGGCAGCAACTTTCGGCTTTTTGCGCGCTGTTTCATCCTCCGAAGCAGCAGCAGACGACGGTGCGGTGTCATTGGGAGATCCACCTCCAGGGGAGCTGCGCTTTTCTCCAACCGGCGGCGACGATGTGTTCGACGGAGACGACGAAGCTGACGTGGCTCCTTCCGTCTTCTTTCTTCCATTGCGCCGCGTCGCTGCCTGACTGAGCACACCCTTGCGTGTGCTCTCCGTGTAGGCATTGTGGAAGTGTCTGGTCCGGTTTAGCTGCTCGATTATTTGGTCCTCGTTGCGTTCGAATTCAGCCAAATTGGGGTGAATCTTGCGGATGAGGGCATCGAAGTTGGCATCAGGGCGCAGTGAACGCTTGGATGGGATGTGGATACGGCACGATGGACATTCACGCTTGCTCTGGCGGATGGCGGTGGAGATGCACTCGCCGCAGAAGCGGTGTAGACATTCCATGACAACCATCGTCTCCTTGATGATACCTAGACAGATAGGGCATGTGAGGTCGGCGTTTAGCTGCCGTATAGACAGCGTCTTGGTCGCGTTCGGGTCCGTAACAGGAGCGCGCGGCTGGCGGTAGATGTCGAAAAGTGTGCAGTCGTCCACCAGCTCGATCTCCTCGTATTTCGACCGCTTGCTGATCTGGCAGTTGGGTGTCCTCGCCACTAGATTGTCATAGTCCTCCCGTGTGAAGGTGTACGGGTTCTGCGGCGGACTCTGCTCCATCGCTGCGATGGCCTTAAGAGAGTTTGATGATGATAACACGGTTGGCACGGTTTTGCCGCCTTCGTTGCGCGAGCTTGTGAGAATTTGTGCGGACAGCTTCGCATATTGTATTGCAGGTAAGATGTACACAATTCTAACACAATTTAAACTTGAAAATTGTAAGCAGCTGTCTGACGTGGCTTTTACCCGCACACTTCGGCTTTCAACTCCCCGAGTCTGTCGACCATGGCGCCCAACCTTAAAATGATGGGCGTGACGCTCACTCTGGCGATCACCACGCGCTCCGTGCTGGACACCGAAAACTCCTGTGCGTAACAATTGCTGCTTCAATTATCATGGGTCCAATATATTGACTATAACGGATCTGTATTGATTACCACAGTTCAAACGACCATTGTGCAGGGCATCTACGGTCTCTCGCAGCTCTTCTGCTATGGCGTGCTGCTGTATCTGTACATCAAGGCTAAGAACAACACGGAGCCCGGCGTAATTACCGTGAAGGAGGATTTGGGTTTCGGTCAGACGGGAGACCGCGATGAGAAGATCACGGTCGCTGAGCACGACCAGCGCGTGGTCATGAAGGAGATTCAACGCGTACGTGGACAACGGTAATGAGTGATTGATGCAACGTACTAATATTATCATTTCCTATTTCAGTACGCTCTCGGCACGATCGTGACGGTGCTAGTGCACTGGAAGTGGGGCTTCTTCCCACCGCTCGTGATCCAGACCATCACGCAGCCTTTTAACCTGTTCCAGGCGCCTGTCGTTAAGGTGACGCTGCTGGGCGAGCGCGCATGGGGAGAGCTACGTCGCCCTTGGACGGACCGCAACGATATGAGCAAGTCCATCAACTCTTGGAACGACACGATCATGTCAGCGCTGGGTGAGGCTCCGGTTAAAGTGAACAAGAAGGCCAGCAAGAAGGCTGCCAAGCGCAAAAACAAGTAGAGCACAACAGAGACGAGATAAAATGAGACGGTCTGGTTTACCGATGCCTTGACGTCGCTGTAGATACGAAATCGGACTCATCGCGAGGACGGAGCTGTTCGTACGGCACCTTCTTGGCTACTCGACCAGTGCGCAATAGCAGATCGAACCGGTTCAATGGATGCACATGCACAATCTTGGCCTTATACGTCAGTTCTTCCTCGTCGGAATTGTTGCTGTAGGCATCAGGCACCCATAAAATCTTATCTCCTTTGGAGTATTGATAATATGGCTGCTCTTCCGGCTCATCGAGCAGCTCCATCTTGGACGCTATGACAGCATCAAACAAACTGCCATTATCTGCGCGAATATTGTAGAAATCCGACTTGGGAATACGACGACGAACTGTTCCTTTAAACAAACGACCTTTAGCTCGGAAGAGGACGCGGTCGTCTCGGAAGAACACTGGCATCAAGTCGTTCTCGTCTTCTGCTTCATGTATTGCAGTTTTCATCTCTTCCTCGGAATCCGAAGACTCGGATGAAGACACCGCTACAAAGCGGTTGGCCGAGTTGACACGACGTAATCCGTCAGCATGAGCACGGATTCTCATAAGGTTTTTGAACTTGTACGTCGAGGCTAACCACTGATCATGCGCTGATCCGTGAAGATGTTCACGTTGCTGTGCTTCAGCTTTGGTGGTTGTGCTTTGGTTCTCGGACTCTAGTCGAAGGCCAGGGAATTTTACATGAAGCACTTGTCCGTTCCACTTGACGTGGTTCTCGTTGTTTGGCTTGGTATTGACAACACTAGAGACCATGATGTTTGCTACGTCTTGGTTGCTTCGCTCGAAATGAATTGTGTAGTCTTGTTCTCGAATCTTCTTTGGTTTGGCGGAAACAGGGTCCGTAGGAATCCTTTCCACGATCTGTGCTGAGTCTTCCGCCAACGGCTTGCCACTCGACAAGTCTAGCGTTGGAACTTCCAGTGAGCTTATCTGCGTGTCTTCATCAGCACTGGTATTGTCGGTTAACAAATTGTTCTTCACCTCAACGGATGCCACCGGCTGTGGTTTAGTGTCTTTGGCTGTTGAACCAGAATCACTTGCAGGATCTTTGGCGGTAGAGTTGACGTTGTCTTGCCGGACACGCTTGGGCGGAGACTTTGGCGGTATGATCCACTTTTCCCATGGAATGGAGACTTTCTGGCGTTCAAGAGAGCGATTCCTGCTACAGTACACATCGTCGTCTTCAAGGAAGAACCTGTCAAAGCGAGGATCGTACACGACGTTGAAGAGATGACTATTATCCTTACGTCCAGCAGCAGTGTTCTCCATCTTTCAGCAACCGACAAGACAGGAATAAAGAGACGCTATTAGCTCTAAACCAAGTGAGGACCGGAGTGCTCTTGGTGTCTAGATCTACGTACGTATCTAAATCAACAGTGGGCTACTCACGACCGAGAAGCCCGTGGCCACACCACCTTCATCGGTACCTGAGAGCTTCGTACGGAGCAGGTGACCAGCGTGTTTGTTGACGATCTCCTTCTCGTCGCCGTCAAACAGACTTGTGATGAACATTCCGAGCTCGCTGATCGTAGGTCCACTAGATGTGAGACTGTTGCGCATGAGAACGGCTGGATTCTCCTTGGGGAAAATACGCTCCATCAAGATGTACGACTCCAGTTCAGCTGGGCTCATCTTCTGGATGGCTGCAGCAACCTCGTCGCCGTACAAGTTGTTGCCTCCACCCTCGCGCTGAGGCTTGAGCACGTACGAGCGTGGGTTGGCGACCGCCATCTTCTTGACATCCTCGATAGTCGCAGAGTCCTTCTCCAGTCCATAAAGACCGGCAAACGACGTCTCCAGCTCCTTGGCTTCTTCTTCTGCCATGAAGCGACGAAGAACGGCAGGTTGTGCAAGCACTTGCTGCACCTTTTTAGTGCCAGCCAAGTGGTAAGCGATCGACGGACACTTGATGGCGTACGAGCGTTCAATTAGAGTCCGACCAGCCCACTCCTGCTCCGTAGGGTAGTCGTTCGGCGTATACGCAGAACGGAAGTACGCGACTGAGACTTCATGTTCATCAATCACCAGTGTGCGCTTGCCATCACGCTCCACCAGCTTGCCACGTGCGTCCACCTCAGCCATAGTGCGACGCAGCACGCGGATACCGTGATGCTCCCACAAATTATACTCGAGCCAACGTTGGTCAATGGCGTTGGCCTCGTTAGGTTGCACCACGAACATGACCACAGCACTGCAGAATACCAAGCAACATCGTCAGAGACAAGTGTCAATCAAGTACACAAGCAGTGGTAACGCACTCCTTGACGCCGTAGAGCTTGTGTGCGGACGCAAGGGAGTTCGGCAGCTCAATGATCGCGTCGTTCTGCGGCAATGCGTTGGCATACTCGGCCGATGGGATGCCGTAGTGCTTTTCCAGGGCCGGAATCTCTGCTCCCAGTCGGCTTACAAGGAAGCTGTCAATAGAAAGAGAATCGTAAGGTAGATGCATTAGTCGAGAGCATAACATTCGTTGCAGACATACCTGTGCATGCCCGAGACGAGTGAACTGATGCAGGCGAAGGAGGACGAGATGGTGTTGAGCTCCACCTGCAGCAAACGCTGCGAGTCTCCAGCCACGTCTGCTTGGGGTTCGTGCAGCATGTAGTCGGAGCGATGGATACCCAGATACGCCTTCTGTTGGACGCCTTCTTTCTGCACGAGCCTCGAGAGTTCTAGGAGCCGCGCAGTGAAGGCGTCCTCGGCTACGACACTCTGTACGCAGCTGTGCAGCCACTCCACATCGCGACTCACACGGTCCACCAGGCGACCGTAGATAGGCGACAACTTGACGCCATGTTCGAATTGCGCTCTGGGGAATTGCACGGGCAGCAGACACAAGGGGATGTGCGTGAAGGCAGGCGTGGGGTCCTTGGGCTTGCTCGGGTCGCGCCAGCCAACGAGCAGACCGTGCGCTGCCGCGTATGCGATCGCCTGCTCCTTCACGTCCATCAACTGCGTGTTACTAAGGCCGATAACGGCGCCGCTTTCCTCGCTCTCGGCCGCATGAGGCGTCGCAGCGACAGCAGCCAGGAGATCCGCCATGACTCGTGCGTAGCTCTTCAGAGAATGACTCGAGTTGGGTCAGGTCGGGTGATTACGTATGTGAGCTCAGTCGTTTTGATTGGCTGTTATGATATCTGAGCCCGATGATTTGATGAAAAGCGTCATCCGTTACACGTCAGAGGGCTGTTTTGAAGCTATCGTTCATTGTGCGATCCTATTATATGGCGGACTTGCAGGCGGCATCAAGCCTCAGTGCGGCGTGTAAGCCCGTCTTGGCTGAGGATATAGTTCTGACTGAACGTACGTTGTCCTGTAGCTGCAGTGGTGCGAGTTTTGAGCATGGAGGCATTGCTAGTGGCTCGTTATCCGCTTGCGACGGAAGGAGAACCAGAATAAGTGTTTAATGCTGTCCAAGATACCCATTCTGACACTTGCTGTGTGAACACATTGCAGATAATGAAGACGAGAGGATGGAGCGGTGGCACTCTCGACTACGCGCGTTCTACTGGGCACACGACCCTCGCAAAGTCGATCGCGTTGAGGAGATCCTGGCTAACCATCGAGTGCGTGTTGCTGGAATTTTACAGCAATTAAAGGATAATAACAATGCTGAATAATGACAGGGCAAAGAGGAGGAGTTTCTGCAGCGGGTGCATCGCGAGTTTGGTGTCCGTGACTTCGGCGGTGAAGAAGCAATCGACGACATCTACGAACACCAGCGCTATTCATACCTGAGCTTCTCGTGGGGATCCTCATTTCCAGGTGCGTACACTATAGCCTTAGCGTCATACTAGTTCAACTCGTTAATTAAAGTAATGTGTGTCGGGTGATTGGCAGGCCACCTTCTTCCAACGGACCGTCATCAGTGGAGTGGACTGCATGGTTCACCGTCTAGCCAGTCCCGCGCGAAAGTGGAACCTCAAGTGCCTGTGAGCTGGATATGGACAAGTGGTTGGGTCGTCGACAAAACCTCGTGCAGATGTGATGCAGACGGATGGGTCTATGCTTTGGACTTTACCATGATCAACTACTTGATCAAGAAAGGTGAAGAGCGCAGTGAGCCAAATGCAACAGACTATGTGCGACGAAGACGGTGGGTACGGACTCGACGTCGCGTGCTGAATAATATTCCGCCGGTTGTGTTACCAGAAACTACTACCAACGTTAACGAAGCCCAGTCTCGCAGATGTGATGAAGGAGAAAACACCGTGCAATGGGTTGTTGATAGCAACGAAGAAATCTCTCCACCATCTCCCAATAAGAATGACGTGGCTGAAAATTCTATCCCAGAACAGCTTGACAAGTCAAGCGTTGCTGAACAACCAGCGTCACCTAAAAAGCCGACACTGGCACCGCGTATTGAGCTGGAATACTATTCGATGAATATGGACAAGTCTGCATACGATGCAGCGTGGAAACTAGCTGTGAAAGATCTAGAGGAAGTGTACACGCGGGCAAAAGAGCAGCGGGCGAAGAAGAAGCAGAAGTGGGGAGTCAAGAAGGAGAAATTGAAGCGACAGATGCATCTACTTGAGAAGACGATCGTGTCGATGCAAGCGGTTGCTCTGGAAGAAGAGCAAAAGCGACAGCAAGAAAGAGCACCGTTGCCAGGGAGTCCACGGAACAAGAAGCAAGGTGCAATACCCTCACCGACAAGTAAAGCTTCTCCTATTGCTACTTCGATGGATAGCCCAACAAATGCGATCAATCTGGCCGCAAGAATGCATTGCGCACAGTCAAAACTTGATGCGCTGCGTCGATTCTACTGGCATCCACGCGAGAATGGCTACTCCCTGCGCTTCAGCATTGACGGGATATTTTACGGACTTCGCGACTTCTTCGTTGAAAGCTTCAATAGCTCATACTCTATTCAAATTACTCACCAGACGAATGGAGCGCAAGGAATTACTCCTACGTGTAAAATAACGATGAAAGGCCATACAGTCTGCTGCGGAAAACACGTCAAGGTTGTCGGTGAGAAAGGAACGCGTATCCCGAAATCGATTTGGGACAGCATGTACATGGACTCGGACTTTGAAGCCTCGATTAACCTCATCTACGTGGAAGATATTGACGATGACAGCGCAGTGGGTCAAGGCAGATGGGAGTTTCTCTTCTCGCCAGAAGCTACGTATGTTGAGCTTATCAACTTCACAAGACGCGTCAAAGGTGGCATGGATTTACCCGAACCGATGGTCCGCAAGCTTTGCTCTGATGTGCTGAGCTCTCTTATTCGGGACTTGACATTGCTGTACTTCCCGTATGAATTGGCGCTAGCTTTCAATTTGCCTCCAGCCAAGCTGGACGTCAAAGGTGAAATCAAGATAACAGGCCAGTCTATTGATCATGTTATGGAGAAAGAACTCAAGGAGCTGGACTTAAATACGATTCGAGAAGAACAAGCAAAGCAAAAGCTTTGCAAACAAACAAGTGGTGCTAATGGAGGTGACGGAGGATCGATACCTCCTTTGAGTCCGATTAAGGATGCTGCATCGGCTGCTGCACAAATGTTCTCGTCTTTGCTGACTGGTTCGAACAAGGAATTGCAAACGATTGCAGAGTTATTGCAATTATCTCCCCCGCAGTTCAATTTGCTGATCGCTCTCAAGCACAGTGGACTGTTTCCAGCTACGTACAGTTTCCACTCACTCGCGTCGATATGTTTGTACTACAACGCTTTCTCGGTCGATGAAGAAACGGTTGAGTCGAAAGAAGAGAATGACAGGAAAACGCAAGGCGAGAGGCTACGTACAGCTTGGAAGCGCGTTCTTGAATTAGTCTTCATCAAGAAAATGCAGCCAGGTATCCTACCACCGAAAACTCAGTCGCCTAAGAAGAGATCGTCACTTGAGAATGCTACGGCGGTAAAGCAGATCCAACTCGAGCTGTTTGATATCGACAAGTTTTTCGATACGATCAAGCGTTTGTCGAAGAAACCAGCGAGTGTACAAGTCTCGGTGAAGCATTTCTATTCAACCCTCAATGCTCTCAGCGTCGTCGAGGCTTTGACCAAGCTGTACGAGCGCATTGTACTCGGTATCGACTATAGTAAGCCACGCACAGGAGCGGATGGTTTCATTTACGGTATTCGCCTTGGACGTAAGGCTACGGTCCACCCGGCGATGGCGATGGCAGCCGCGGCAGCCGCTGCATCAGCTGCAGTAAACACTAGCGACGAAATGTGTCCTGTGGGCTCACCTCCAGTGCTTGACTTGAGACGATACCGTCCAGCAGAAGTCTCATTCCAAACAAAAGTTCATGCATTCAGTAAATTCTGGCAAACATTGAAGAAGGTGATTGAGTTTGTCAGAGAAAATGTCGACGATGTGAGTGCTGAACTTGCTGGAAACGTGAAGGGAACCGGTAAAGATTGTGTGCTCAATGGGTCGTTTAAGGATGCCGACTACCGTGGACCTTTAAGCATGGGACTCGCCGTGCCTCCGTGTTTCCTCGGCTTTTACCGCGCTGAAATGGTTCCGTTGGGGAACAATCGAGTTGGAATGCAGATCGACGCCATGCTTCCGTCAACTTCTGCCAACGCTGCGACTGGAGGCAAGCAACAAACTGTCAAAGCATTGGAACCAGTTGGCCGGTTCATGCTCGCGGACTTATCCAGTGAAGTTCTCTTAGACCTGGACGCACTGATAACACGCGAAGAAGAGCTTCGAGAACAAGCCTTGGCAGCAGCTAAAAAGAAGAAATTGGCGTCTCCTCGATCACCCAAACAGCTCAACTCAACAGGAACTATCTCCAAGAAACTAAACCAGCATTGCGCGTTGAGCTTCTCCTTTGGCCCCAGTAATACTGATAACGAGGATACCGTCCTTTCAACTAAACCCTTGGGCCAGCTCAACGTACGCACCAGTGAGTTCACCAAGCTCCATACCACAGCGAAGGCAGGCTCTTTCATGCTACGTCTCCTGTCAATTGCCGATTATCTGCTCACACAGTACGTGCAACCTCACATCATGAAAGCATTCCCACAACACCAGGTGCTGTTCGACACTGCCAAGAGGAACATAATGGCACTGCTACAGTCGCCAAAGCTCGAGATGGACTTCGATATCATGGCACGAGCGTTTATTCATGAAGACGAGAGTCTCATGGTCACTTGTTGCGGGTCACCACTGCATCCGACTCCGATGACGTTCAAGGATGAAGTGAACTTGCTTGACATTATCCTGCAAGTGGATGATCTGGTGAATATCTGGATCGACGATCGGTATCCACCGTACTCGAATCCGCTTTACTTCTAAATGACAAGACAGGAAAGAAAGAAATGGATCACCCATGAAAAGTGTTCATTCCGATAAATACATGAAAAACTGCTCTTCTCGTCCTTCTCCTACTGCGTACAAACTCATCGGCGTGAGTAGTGCGTCTGCAATGACGATCAGCGTGTTCAGCCCATCAGGCGAACTCTGCACTCCACTAGACTACATCCTCACCATATTTTCAGCGCCAATCGCAAGCCCCTCTCGTCAATACACGCAAACAAAACTAAGCTTCACGAGCCTCCTACCAACAACAGGACCGAGTCAGTTGCCGCCAAACGCTGAGCGAAGCCTTCACCTCCGACTGAGTCCCACTCGACTTACAGGGCATAGATATCCACATTGCGACGGTGCTGTAGCCTTACGCTCCTCCCATTGTCGACTCAACTGGCAGCAACTTCTGCAGCTGAGCCATTTCGTCCGATAGCCGCGCTATCTGAGCATCCGCCTCCTCGATATTCATTTCGCATTGCTCAAACTCCGCTCTTATCGCATCGAAGTCAAGCTCAGCCTCGTCCGGCATCGAGGCGTCCGTAGAAGCTCGTCTAAGGGCATTGCTAAAGTTCTCGGCTCGTACATCACCGTCTGACTTTGTCGAGACATCCTATCGCAAGAGCAAAGAAACCACACAAAACAATTGATTAGTGTTGGTGCCCAAATACACGACTCACCCGCAGTAGGCGTTATGCCGCCGCGACAGGCTCAAAAGATTTCTTACGCAAGGTTGGCTCGCCCGATCTCTATCTTGCCCATCACTGCTCGCCGGTACCTGAGGCTGCAATACAGGAGACAAAATGTACATATCGACGTTTATACTGACCGCTGAAGAATCGCCACGCTCTTGGGACTTCGACACTGGTTTCTCCGGTGCTTTATTCGCTGTCGCTGCTTCGGTCGATGGAAGGATTTCAGGCGACGGCCTCTGTTGACTAGGCTTCTCCTTTCCTTCACCTGAGATTGCTTGCGCGCTCTTGGAAACGGTAGCTATCTTGGATTCCTCTGCAACTGGCCCAAGTGGTGGTTTCTTGGCAATGCCGATAGCAGAGGATTTCACCTCAGGAGCATTCCCTGACGCACCTGGCAACAGAGTAACCACAGAACTCACCTTCTTCTTCGGAGACAAACGATGTGGAGTCGATGATAACGACGCGGGACTGGATGAGGACCCTGAAGGATGCTTGAATATTCTTGCTGCCGCGTTCTCCAACAAGCGAGTCGTCTGTTCTTTCTCACGCTCAGCAATCTTTTGTCGCATCTCTTTTATTGCATCTTGTAAGCTGCTTGACGCCGTTGATTTGGTGCGTGTATCGTCTTCGCCATTGCGTGGTGAAAAATCATCCGGGTTGAGCGTAATCACTAGCGACTGGGAGCATGCAGTCAGGGGACGGAACTCTGGAGTTTTCACAGTCAGTCCAGCTGAAGGTTTTGCTAATTCCGACGCTCTGGACGAAGAAGTCTCTGCCTTGTTTCCTCCTCCATTTAACTTCGATGTAGCAGGAGATTTATCTGTCTCAGAGGAGGACTCATCAATCACCATACGCTCAGCGTCGGCCACATCATTTGTCTTCAGCTGCGTTGACTTTGGCGACTTTGCTACCACAGTCGGCTCCGTCTGGGCTACTGAAGATTTCTCGTTGGCCAAGTTATCCACATTTTCGCCCACAGCCTTCGCGCAAGTACTCTGTTCGGGACTGTCAATTGCATTCGACTCACCAAAGGACGGCGTCAGCACTTGAGCAGCATCGGGTGCCTTCGTAACAGCTCGTTTCCGGTTTCGCGTCATGGATCGTAAAATCTCCAGGCGAAGTTCGCTTTCGCTATTGGGACTCGCTGGCTCTGAAACTGAGCGTTTCCCCTCGTCGTGAGTTGGTCGGGCAGGAGATGAAGACGATAACGATGATGAAGAAGAATCCACCACGGACACCTCTGTAGGTGTCGGAGTCGACGATGACGACTTCAAAGACCGGTTAACCTTACTTCGAAGGGCAGCAGCTCGAAGGGTGTCAAGGTCCAAGTCAGCGGAGTCATTGCGCTCCTTGTTGCGAACCGGGCTGGGGGTAGCAGCATGACTTTGGTGGGGGATTGGAGGAAGGTGCGATTGGTCACTTACGGAGCGCTGCAATGAAGGACTTGTCCCACCTGTCATGGGCCTGGGTGGAGTTATCGACACCGATCGATACTTAAATCCTCCCTGCACTGGAGGTTCCGAGAACATTGCGTGGGAGAGTCGTCCAGCCTCGCCAGCAAGCATTTCCATACCTCCTTGACGATTCACGCGCAAAATCTGGCTGTCTTCGTACAGAGGAGGAGGTGGCGGTGGCATTCGGGGATTCTGTAGCTGTTGTGGTGGAGGTCTCATTGGAGGATACAGACCACCAACAACCGGACGTCCTGGTTGAAATGAAGCTGAAGGTGGATCTCGGAACACGGGACGAATGTTCATTGAGTTGCTTCTTGAGTCGTTCCTCATCATTGCAAGCGTGTATTGTTCTGGTGGTAGAGCATCTGCAAATGGCCGCTGACGATTCATCCGCTCGAAGTCGGGCGCCATTTCACCTGGCGATGTGTGCATCATCTGCATCGCCTCCAGCTTCCGCTTGCTCTTCTTCTTGCCACGCTTTTTCTGCTTCTTAACGCGCTGGTGAGGACGAATTCCCATCGAGTCCATGGGGTACGCGTTAAATTGTTCTGGTCGGTTCCCTCGGATCATCGACTGTTGCACCTGCATCGACGGCTTTGGAGCCGCTCCTTCCTCGAATATCTCTCCATCCTCCAAATTCTCAGCTTCAACCATTCGATCTGTAGTTGACGGTGAGTCCGTAGTGTCTTCTTCTGCTTCTTGCGTCTGGTTAGGAAGGTCTTCATCCACATCCATTCTGTCATCACCATCGCCATACAAAGGGGGCGTAGAAGTTTGCTGTCTAGTCGCTACCATCTGAGTACTTCGCTCCAGATCACTTTCCTCCTGCTTGTCCTGAAAAAATGGGGTTGTCTGGCGGATAGCATCCAACGCCGCTCCAACATCGTTCTGTGTCTCGCCACGAGAAGCCTGTTCACTTACCGGCGTCGTCGTAGGTAATGGAACCGACTGAGACGTCAACGAAGTCGCCAGATCATGTACAGAAGAAGCCAACGATACTGGCAGAGGTGACGACGTTATGGACGGCATAACTGGCCAGTCCTCGTCCACGTCCGACTCGTTTTCTTCCACTTCTGGCACCATCATGTCCGACGTCGCTTGCAGTGACTGTGTCACGGATGCATTCTCTTTCTCATTGCCGTTCAACGTACTCGACTTCGCAGTGCCTGCAGCTGCAGAGCTCACAGTAGCAGCCGTAGCAGCGGCAGTTACTGATTGTTGCGCCCCCATCGGCTCATCCTCTTCCTCATCGTCTCCGTCCAGAGTCAAGTCGATTGCTTCACCTGATGAGCTACCATTTTGACTTGGCGTTTGTATTGGATCAGGCTTGAAAACTTCTGGTTGTACTGCTGCAACCACAGGAGCTCCATTAGCGGGTCTACCCAACAGGAAGAGTGCGGAGCTCGCTGGCGGTGCCATGGGCCTCACACCAGGTGGATGCGGTAGTGGCCTTTTCATCTGAACGAAGCCCTTTGACTGGGTTTGATTATGCTGCGCTCGCTGTTGGGCTTTCCACTGCTCCTTGTTCCGAGCCATCCGCGGTTGACTCTCTTCAACTAGACTTTGTGCTGCTATAGACCGAGTTGTAGAGTAAACAGAGTACCAACACGTAGCCAAGACGAATCGTAATTGGCCTCACTCCTGCCTCTAGCTTTTGTCTGCACGTCGTGGAGATCTCTCGTCGCCGCCTGCCCCGCTCGTTTCGCTTTGACAGCGACCAAACAGAGTGCGTTACATACTAAGTACGAATCAGGAATGAAGGTCAAAATGGTGTACGTGTACATATTCCGCATCCAGTGTCAAGATGCTTCTCATTCACAATCGGAAAATCAGTCCGAGCATCAAGTTGAAGCCCAGGAATCGCTCAGTCATGGTCCCCGTTCCGCACTACGTCAAGTCCGTCGCGCTCAAGAACTCGACGTCTCATCAGGTGACGGTTGTGGCGACCTTCGGCTCGGACGAGTTTGAGGCTGAGGGCAAGGCCAAGATCAAGGAGACGTGTGAGTTGGCGCCGGGAGAGGAGAAGACTATCCAGGAGCGCGAGTACGACATGGGCGGCTGGACGGCCACGGCCGCGCTTTACTCGCTGGAGGTGGAACACTCGACGAACAGCAACCTGCTTGGCAAGACTCTCTATACTCCTAGCGTCAGCGGCATCGTCGACGTGCTCCACGTCGACATTGGTGCGGACGAAGAAGCCAAAATCTTCAAGGTCGCGGCTGTGCGCGAGGCCTAAGCTGATGCAGCAGCGGACTATTGCTGTCTCTTTGAGGCAACGGATGCATATCTCGACGTCTTTCACTTTGTTCTAAAACAAAACTTCTTTTCTTTTATGAAATGGTTTGCAATTGTTTGGTCGATCGCCTGGTCTGGTCGTGCCGTGGATGTGGTAAGCTTGCCCTGCGTGTGCGCCATAAATACTTGTGATTTTTGTCCAAGCTACAGTGTCAGCGAGCGAGACGTCAGCTGGCTAGATGGTAGGTTCTCAGCTCAGCTAGTGCTTCTTATCTCCGCTGTCAAAATCTCTACACAATCCGAGAGTCAGCGAGGGAGGCGCTCGCTCTGAGTTTCGAGAAATAACACACTTACACGATGTGGTTTTCAGACGAGGTATCATCGATCGGTGGTCGTCCATACATGACCATAGACGAGTTGCTCGACACCTTGTAGGCCGGAAGAGGCTGGTTTGTAGCTTCTCCGTCCCTTGTCTCGATTTCGTCCACCTGTGAGTTGGAAAAGTATGCGCTACCCGCATCAGAGCGTGGTGATAAAGGCGAAGCGGGTGTCCCTGGAGAGTACGGCGCTGCCAAGTAACTCGTGTCCCCGCTTTCTGATCGTGGCGTATATACGACGCCATTCGCACCAGTATTAGTCTGCACAGATCGCTGTCCAGCAAGATCGACGTGTAGACCGAATCCCCGCTTCGTGCCACTGTTGCTCCTCCGCTTGCGGTACGAACTGCTGCTGCGTCGACTGCTATCGCGCTCACGGATCTCGCCGCTCTGGTTGCTGAGCACCTCCAAGCTGTCGTCCACTTCCGCCTCAATAGCGGCCAATTCCTCTTCCTCGCTGCGCACGCTTTCGCCTGACGGACGCGAATCGCTTGTCTGGTTGACACTGGGCTTCGAATTGTTCGGCGCTGAGTCAGGATTGGGTTTTTGTCCACAGCAGCGTTTCCACCATGGCACACGAACCTACACACAAACACGATACACGAAGCAAAAAAACACACAAACACATTGGTCAATGTCTATAAATAAGGGAATGTGTTCTGGTCTGCTATGTCCTGCTGCTTTTGCTGCTGGAACTGCAGCTCTCTGTAGCCGAGATATCGAGGTGGTTGACAGGATATATACGTACAATGTTTTGACGCTCCTGAGCGTTTTTCCGCTTGCGTTGACGGACGATGTAGTCGTAAGTTGTGATGTTCTCCATGCCTGTTGCAGATCAAATGACAATAAAATTGTTAGCTGCCACGTATGAAGTGTAGTTCGGGTGCTCATGGTCGTACACAAGTGGAAATGGAAGAGTGCAAGCTGCCCGATCATGAACAGCCAGGGACTCAGGAAGGCCAGCAACACGATGTGGATGATCCGTAGCGTCTGCAGCGAGATACTGTACTGTCCGTCCACGCAGAGTCCCGTGAGATCGTCCTTCTCTGTGGAGCATCCGTAGCTCGTGGCTGAGTTCCCCATAGTGTCGTCTTCGTTCGTGTACAGCTCCACGACGAGATAAATGCCCACAGCGATCTGCACTGCTAGAAACACCGACGCACCCACGACGGATCCTAGAAAGAAGCGGTAGTTCTTCTTGCCCACACAGTTGTTGAGCCACTTGCAGTGGTGATCAAAGACATCCACGCACTTGTCACACAGGCGACAGTGTCTGCTTTGATCGTTCCTGTACGTAGATAGCATTAAGATTCCATTAGAATCGTCTTTAGAGACCTCGGACAAGCAGCACGTACACATATTTTGTACAGACGTTGCAGTACACTCGATTGTCAGGGCGAGAGTCTCTGGCGTCAGGCAAGGTCTGTGGCCAAAACAACATCACCGTGAGTCTGAAGTCGCTGCTAAACCTGCTCTGCGTCGCTCTTACCGACGGTCTCATAATGCAGTCATCTGACGGGTCGGTGCCCGTACAAACGGCCACGGACACTACCGTTACGAGGCAGGCGGCGGCATACACGACGCTGAGGACGATGGCCGGAGTTTTGTCCAAGATTGGCGTGTAGAAGGCGAAGAAGAGCGCCATGACGGCCGGGAAGACCACCCATGTGGCCAGTTGCAGCACGTGGAACGGCGTCTCCCACCCATTCTTGCGCATTTTGGGCTATGCCTGTAGGCTGGTTGGAGGCGAGGAGGATGCGATACAAGCTGTCGCTGAACGCTGTCGGTCGTTCGAGCTGCGCTGTCTATCAAGCAAGAGCTCTAAAAACAAGAACCGTATGGGGCGTAATATGCGAAAAAAAAAAAAAAAGCGTTTGCTACGGATTTTGGCATTTTCTTAATTATTCTAAGATTACTTTTCCCGTACCACTCCGATTTTCGTGAAACATACACTATTAGTCAAAACAGGAAAACCGTTGTTTCAGAGTTGAAAGCACCATCAAGTTCAGCTTGACAAGCAAGGGTGATACCATCGTAATGCATCGTTTGACTATATTATCACAACCAGCACTGCTGGCACTGCTAATCCAGCAGTACTTGATTGATAAGATACCCAGATAGGTGAAAGCAGAAGATCGAAAGACGAAAAAACTGACTCCTGAACGGCAACTTTGGGACCGTCACTCCTGTTCAGTGAATTGTCACTGGAAAATTGCGGTGATCATCCGTTGGTTTCATGCTGGCCGTTGCCGCCTGTTGTGGTGGAAGAAAGCTTTCAGCCTTCTCTTGTAAGGTAGAGTTCACTAGCGTCTCTTCAAGATCCATCGTCACTTTGCTGCCCGCGCTTTATCGGCAGCCCGAAGCCGCCTGTC